CAAAAAAATAAAAGAAAATAACTAAAAATTATGTAGCAGTCTAGGGCATACACACTACAATACCATGCACTGATGTTTGCACATCTATACAAATTTTTCTACTTTAGCACACCTTAGATGATTCAAAAACGTATACTTACCTGATATTTCCAAGGGTTTAGCCAAATATTGTTGTTTAATTTATAGGTGATTTTAAATTAGGTGATGCATTGCAAGGAGGGATTAATTTCTTCCTAGTATTACATTTCCTGATTGCAAAGATTGTAAAGAAAGTACTTACTTGAAATTCTAAGATGTAATCAGAACCAGCTAGGTCATATTTTTAGACTGATAGGAAAATAAACCATCTCCACAAGTCATCAAGATATTTTAAGAATGTTCCTACTTTATGTGCATGATAATTTTTGTTGCAATCAATGGGGCCAGTCATGTGCATACAGTATCCTGTGTCAAGTACACATTTGTCTTGTACTACAAAGGCATTCAATATGCATGAAGTAATGCCTGAAAGATGACTTCAGTACCAAAAATACTTTTATACATTGTATACAATTCTCATAAATAATCTTCACTCTTAACATGCTAAGGAAAATCTAAGAAATTGCCTAAAGGAAGAAGATTCACTGAGCGTATTTCTGACTCCACTGAATTCAGCTGGCGCCATAGTGCTGATGTACATAGAAAAAGAGTTTACCAAAGGTATACAGAAGTTATTTCATTTTGGAGGGAGGTGTTACATGATTATAAAACATTCTAAGATATTTTGGTCTTTTGTGTGAAATACAACTATTTATCCTTTTGTGATAATCACTTATTTGAAGTGATTATGAAGGAATGCAAACAGGTAAATAAAACTGAGAATGCTTTACTGCAATAAATCTTCCTTGAAGACAGGAAATTTAATGTGGATTCAACATCCAGTTCTACTGTGCTCTTTCAAAAATTCTCTAAGTTCTGTAGCAGCTTCTGTTAATATTTTTAATGAAAAAAAATGATAAGACAAATGTCCTCAATATAGTTGCTCACTTTCCACGGTCCTCTATTAACCATGATTTTGTATTTAGCAGTTTGCCAGCTGTAGTCAAAGGCAGGGAGCTGATTTCATGCAAATCAGATCCTGCAAGTCATCCCATGGGAGACAAATATTGAGCAGTCTTCCTGTTGCAGCTGCTGTTGAAGGGATCTTCAGTCACCCAAACAGAGAGTAAAACAATACCTGCTATGCCTGATGAATTGAAATACATTTAATTGAAGGAAACATAGTTAAGGGAAGAAGATAAATTATCATAGAATCATAGAATGGTCTGGGTTGGAAGGGACCGTAAATATCATCGAGTTCCAACCACCCTGTCATAGGCTGGGACACCTTCCACTAGACCAGGTTGCTCAAAGCCTCACCCACCCTGGCCTCCAGAGACAGCACATCCACAACTTCTCTGAAATCTCTGAATCTAGCCTCATCCAGTTTAAGGCCATTCCCCCTTGTCCTACCACTACAAGCCCTCGTTAAAAGTCCCTCTCCAACTCTCTTGTAGCCCTCCATTATGTACTCAAAGGCTGCTTTGGGTGTCCCCAGGGCCTTCTCTTCTGCAGGATGAACAACTCCTGTTCTCTCAGTCTGTCTTCAAAGGTCCTCCATGCCTCTGATAATTTTTGTGGCCCTCCAACAGGTCCACATCTTTCCTGTGCTGAGGACTCCAGAGCTGGATGCAACTCTCCAGACGGGTTCTCACAAGGAAAGATTAGAGGGGGAGAATCACCGCCCTTCCCTGCTGGCTACGCTCCTTTTGACACTGTCCAGGATGCTGTTGGCCTTCTGGGCTGCAAGCAATTTCCAGGTCAAGATGAGTTTCTCATCCACCAACATGTCCCAAATAAGTTCTTTTTGAATCCTTTGTTCCTTTCAATTTTACCACCATAAAGGGCTGAGAAATACTCCTTGATGGAGTGAAGAGAAGAACCATGGAAGAAAAATATGTACGTGAAAATAATAGTAAGAGTAGCAAAGCTTAAGAAAGGGACAAGAGAAGCAGCCCTTCCTAATGCCACAATTATTGATTTTTTCATGAGCACCGAGAGTACAAACACAGCCTGGCTTTTTCCACCTGAAATTTGAAGAGCCTCCAACACAGAGCATTTTCACTGACTTCATTCATATTTTAAGGGAAGACAAATAAATAATATGCATAAGGAAGTCTTGAGAAATGCTGAATTGAATTTTTCAAATGCACTTTTTTTCTCCCATTCCCTTGCTGACAATAGATATCACCAACACTGGATGCCTTTTCCTTAAAGGAAAACTTTTCAGATGTTTTATGCATGGACTTCGCACTTTTTAAGTATCCCAAGATAGTATATGCTGACACAAAGATATTTTCCCCATTTTGTTAGATGAATACTAAAGTTAAATAAACATTAAAATAATATAATCAAACAGAACCTTGAATTTAGAGCTCTGAGGTTAAAAGTCACTTTGCCCCTCCTCAGAGGTACTGCACTGAAATCCATTCCAGAGAACTGCAGTGGGGCCAACTTGCAACTGTCCATTGGAATGTCAGTAAGAACATAATGATTCTGTCCCAGACCCCAGATGATCATAGAACCACCTCCCTAAACAAAAGATAACATAAACATAGTGCAGACTTCCAGTGATAAACGCAAATCAGACTGTGACTCTTCAATTGCTTCTGTCAATTATTACCTATTGCTTAAGCAAGTTAAATTGGGAGACAGTATGAAAGAACAGTCCTGTGCCCTTTCGTTTCTGCTTAATCTATAATCCATTAGTAGTGGGTTGAGGCAATCATTTTATGAAGCACTTGGAGAGAATAGAACATATTGCAAACAGGAACACTCTCTGGGAATGTGGACTCTCCTTCTCTGAAAAAAAAAAATGCACAAAGTGTTCAAAACACCATAGTGACCACTTCATTTTTTCACACATGCATAATTTGCAACGACTCAATCACTTGGAAGTAGTTGTAGTATGAGCACAATACAGCCTTTTCTTTATCAGCTCTGCAAAATGCATTGTAGGCCAAAGGACAACCTCTTAAGGACTTAACCCAACACCAGAACTGGAGGATCTCATGGGGATTGCTTGAAGCAGAAGGAAGTTATTGACATTATTGCTGTTGTCAATGTAGCAACATGTTTACACAGTAAAAAACCCAAACCCCTCAGCCCTTCTCAGTACATGTCATTTGTTTCAGTTTGCTAGCAGCATGTCACATGTGCCTGACCTTGTTGATATTTCCATAAGTAACCAGCTCAGGGTAGGTGGAAGTCCAAGACCAGATAAACCTTTGTATCTGGATGTTTTTTTATGCATTCAATCTCTCTTGATTGTTGATTAAGTCATTAAACTACTGGATTTGTATGACTCAAAGGCCTTCTCTAACCATCAACAGACACACCTTCCACTTTTCAGTCAAATGAGTGGATATGCATTTAGAAACCTTGTAGACCCAAGGACACAGGCTCTTCTTTCTCAGACATTTGGGATTTTCCTTTTGTCTAGATTTTGGGTGACTCAAGGATTCCTCAGCTTAATGAGGATAGGACTCAGATACGGAAGAGTTTGCTGCAAGCAAGATGTAGCAGGTTCCTCTGCATCCTAAAATCTAGTTGTCAGTTCAGCCAAATTATTGTCTCTGAAGATTCCTAAGTTCACACTGCAGATGAAGCCTACATGTTCTCAAACTGAGCTATCTACTCCAGCTCTCCCACTGGAGTGTCCTTCATGATAAATCCTTTTATCTGGGGTGTACAGCATACATTCCCAGCAAGTCAGGACCAAAACCTGGGTATGGTTATTCTCCATCAGCAGAGGAAGTGCAGCATTGATGACAGTAGGATTCCACCCATTCAATTCCTGTTTCTGTAACAGCTCTGGGGAAAAAAAACAAACAAAAACAAACAAACTCCAGACCATCCCTGCCTCCATTTACTAATTCCCATACTCATTTCAACTTTGGACAGTGACTGTATAGGAAGAATAGGTACTTTAAAATTTCTTCAGATCTCTGCAGTACACTCTTATTAGTCTTTCCATGGTGAACAAGAACATTTTGGACTGAGATGCTTTATGTCAAAGCAGAATCTCTCTAGTAAGCTCTGTCTTAATTAGGAGGAGCAAATGAAAAAGGCCACATCTCCTTTTCTGCAGTTACATTTTTTCTTTTCTTTTTTTTTTTTTTTAAATTTTGTAAATTTTGAAATATGGATATAGCAAGAAAACACAGATAAGGTAAGAAGTGAAGAGTCTCACGGAGCAACGTCTGTCTTCTCTCAGCAGTTCATGGAGCTGGGCCATAAAATAAGGAGAGGGAAAGTACTGTGGTGCATGGATGCATCTCAAATAACAGATGCTCAGATCCAGGATCTTCGTATGCTCCTAGGATTTTGCCAAGGAAAAGACGCAGATACTGCACGTCTTTTTATGAAGCTGAAGGGGGGAGCATCTGAGTTAGCAAACACGAGGGCCTCCAAGCAATAATCCATACAGCTGAAAAGGGAGCTGGCTGAAATTCTCTTGGGAATTGGAGATACCTCTGTTCCTCTCTGGTCTTCACTAATGCCTTGTAACAGCAGTGATAAGTGGAAGAGCAGTAGCACACTTCTGTCTCACATAAAGCATTTAGAGATTGCTGATTAACCACTGCTGCATTTGGAAGCCCGTGCTCCCTCTTCCCTGCCCGGCAGTGACTGAGTTTCCACACGCCTGCATCAGCTGCTCCTTACGGTTTTGGACGGGTCCCTTTCCTATCTCAACCCCACACGCCCTCTCTGCCCTCCCGGCAAAGCGACGGGGCAAGGTGACACCGAAGGAGCACCGAGATGTCACCTGCCGTGGGGCGGCCGATGCCGGCAGCACTGCCGCGGAGAAGCCGGACTCAGGACTGCGTCCCCTGCGGGGCAGCCTGCGACCCAGCCCGGCCCCGGCCGCTCCAAGCCGGCCCCAGGCCCGAGTGGCCGCGGCGGGGCGGTCCCGGGGCGGCGCTGCAGCGCGGAGCGGGCCGCGGGCAGCGGCGGCGGGAGGCGGGCGCCAGCTCCTCCTTCTCCCTTTCCTCCTCCTCCTCCTCCCTCGGCGCCGGGGTGGGCTCGCCCGCGGCAGCCGGGGTGTGGTGTCTTGCCGTGCCGTCCCCCGTGTGCGATGGACTGGCAGGTGCTGACCAGGGAGCTCTCCCTCTACCTGGAGAGCCAAGTCCGCGTGGGGTTCTTCGGCTCCGGCGTGGGCTTGTCCCTGGTGCTGGGTTTCGGTGTCGCCTACGCCTGCTACTACCTCAACAGCATCGCCAAGGTGAGCGGGAGGGCGGCGGGGCGGGCGGGCTCCGCAGGTGTCCCGCCGATGGGGACAGTCCCGAAGGTCACCGCGACCCCCGCCCCTAGGCGAGGGGATCGCACCTGAAATGGCTGGTGGGGGGGCAGGGCTCTGCGGCCGCCTTGTCCTCAAATCCCTCGTCCGTCCCCTGGAGGTGCCGCGCCGGGCTCCCGGCCGGCCGAAACCCCGCTCGAACCCCACACGGGCCCGGCAGCGCAGCCTCCCGGGCCGCCGGGGCTGCGTCTTCCGCAGGGGCCGCCGGTGACCCCCGGAGGCCGCCGGCCTGCGGTGAGGGAGGGCTCCCCTGGTCCTGCTCGGTCTGGGAGGGGAAGGGGCTCCGGTTTCGGCAGTCCCCAAAATGCAGTTGTACCAGTTTGAGAGCTTGGCCGGGTGCCATGGTTTGGAGAGGGAGGTTAGGAGACTGCCCTCCACCACACAAACCCGACCTACTTGGTTCAGTAGCGGGGCAAGTGATAAAGTAGTTTTGCTGCCCTTGTGTCCCCGTCGGTACCATCCTAAGTACCTCTGGGGGTACCATGGCAGCGTTTTGGGGGCTGGAGCACTCTTGGGCATCTCCTCATCAGCAGCAATTCTACAGATGAATTAGGCAATCGCAGATTACTTGGATACAGTGAGCCTGACGAGATCTGAAGTGGCCCCCTGGTAAGAGCGCCTCGTTGAATGCGTAATCAATTGAAAATACGCATATCAAAAGGGTTTTGACCGTCGAGGACCTGAGTGTTGCCACAGTCCTTCAGAGAACCGCTGGGAACATAATCTTCCTCTTCATAGAGAAGAGAGTACTTGATTTTGGTCAGAGGAGAAAAACGAAGGGATGATGTGCTATTACAGCTGTTTATGTGGAATGGTTTTCCTCAAAGCATGTGTTATTGTCCTATTAATGCTTGCATGCTGGGGAGTCATTGAAACAGAGGGGTATAAGAAATATGGTTGGTAAAACCTGAGATGTTTGGAATACAGGGACTTTTCCATGTTAATTGGTAAACAAATGGAAACTCTAAGCAAATTGTCTGCATGCAGAGCATTGTTAGAGAGGAGGAACAGGTGCACTTGTGTACTGTAGAATGAGATGGGAGGAGACGTGTCCTACCAGGTTAAAAAAGGTACTACTTTCAAAGTGCATGCATTAATTAAATGCCATTTTTGTGTGGTCCAAGAAAACAGACTTGGTAAAATCTTTCTTGTTTACTAAGAAACAGTGTGATTTTAATTTGTCAGTGAAGATACAATGCTGGTAAAATTAGAGATAGATCAGTATGTTATTAGAAATACATAAGGAATCCATTATGTTTAATGGGTTTCACTTTTCACTTGGACATTTTGGCATTTTGTTTGGTTTTCATTTACTTCTCGCTGTAACATTAAAGGTAAGAGCATTGCAAATCACTATATGAAATAAATTAGTTCACTGAGAGAGGATTTAAATAAGCTTTATTTCTTTATTTATTTGGTTTTTAATTTGTTTTAGAAGAATGCCCATGTCTGACTGCAGTCTCTTTTCCTAGAAACCCCAGCTGGTGGCAAGCAATGACCGTTTCTGCCGCTTTCTTGAGGAATATTGCCCTGTTGTGACAGAAACTTACTATCCCACGATTTGGTGCTGGGAGGGTCGGGTACAGACACTCCTGCGCCCCTTTATCACATCTAGACCCCAAGTACAGTACAGGAAGTAAGTGCCTTTATTCTGGAAAGTGATTGATTTGATATGCAACTGTTCTCTTGCTCTGTGTCACACCCACTCTCATTGCTCAAGTTTGTGCCTAGCTTTTTTGCTTTATGCCCACCTTTACAACTTTGTCATAGACTTGGAACTACCTTTATCATGGATTTAATGTGAAGTAGGTTTGAAAGGTCCGTGTTCCCAAATGGTCTTATTTTAGCTCAGAGTTTTGTAGCACTGAAATATGGGTGACAGTATAGGAACTGATGTGGTTATATGTTCACAGGATTACACAGTGGATGAGGTCTTAAAAGACCTCTGAAGTTCACCTAGTCCAACTGCCCTGCTCAAGCAGGGTCACCCAGAGCCAGTTGCCCCAGATCATGTCAAAATAGCTTTTGGATTTCTGTAAGGAACGTGACTGCACAATACCCCTGGGCAAATTGTGCCAGTGCTTGGTGGCGCACTCTCACATTGAAAATTTGTTTCCTGATATTCAGAGGGAATCTCCCATGCTTCAGGGTGGGCACATTGCCTCTTGTTTTGTCAATGGGCAACACTGAAACGAGCCTGGCTCCATCCTCTTTGCACCCTCCCTTCAGGTATGTAAACACATTGCTAAGTTCCCCCTGAGCCTTTTCTTCATGCTGAGCAGTCCCAGTTGTCCCAGCCTTTTCTCACAGGAGATAGGCTCCAGTTTGTTGGTCTTCTTTGTGGTCCTTTGCTGGATTACCTCCAGTATGTTCATGTCTGCATTGGACTGGGGAGCCCAGAGCTGGACTCAGTACTCCAGGTATGGCCTCACCAGTGCTCCATAGTGGGGCAGGATCATCTCCCTCAATCTGCTGGCTGTAGTACTCCTAAGCCTCCACAGTCGCCAGACTTTTGGCCCTCTTTCCTGCAAGGGCGCGTTACTGGCTCGTGTTCAACATGGTGTCCACCAGGAGCACCCTCGGGTGCTTTTCTGCCAAGATGCTTTCCAGATGGGCAGCCTCTCCTGGTTGTTCCTTCCCAGGCCCAGCACTTTGCACTTCCCCTCACTGAACTTTGTGAAGTTCCTGTCAACCCATTTCTGCAGCCTGTAGAGACCCCTCTGAATGGCAGCACAGTTACTTGGCTTATCAAATATTCTGCTGTTCGAATGCCAGAATTTTGCAAAGGTCATGCAGTCACTGTATCTGTCCATTAAGGTACAACATATTGTACCCTAACCATAGCACAGCCACATTCAGCCTTGTTTTGAATATACAGAACTTCTGGGATTTTCAGAGTAACTTTTACCTGTGGAATTTTTGTTGTGTTCCTTCATGCCTAAGAGGCATGCCTAAAGAGGCAACATTTCCCTCATTCTAAGAGGGAAAAAAAATCCCTTATATTTATTTTTTGTCCTCAGCCAATCTCTTTCACACAGAAATGAGACTTAGTCTGGCAAATGAGGCATTTGGCACAAGACCTAAGGAGAAGGACTTTTATGTGCCGGAACCTGGATGCAACACAAGTTGTTTCAGCTCTGCTTGCACGGTAGAATAGATTTAGCATTTAGCAGCTTCCCTTAGTTTTAGTAACTAGGAAACATTTCAGTGGTATGGCCATGTCCACTTCTTCTAATCCTTCTTGTACACTTTTATTTCAAGGGTTTTGAGAAAAGAAACATAGTTCTGTGGAGCAGTGCTTATTTTGCACCATTTTACATTGTGTTGGCAGTACTCACTAGCAGTGCATCTACTTCCCATTACTGAAAAAGGGCAAAGCTGAGCTAATGAGTCTGACAAGGCTGGTCACCTTTAAAATCTGCAGTAGTCACTACCAAAAATTTCAAAAGAAAAATCAAATGCCAGGTAGGCTTACATTTCAGCAGTTTCTACACCAACTCCCTCCAACCATTCAAATATGAATATATTAGCTTTTATCTACAAGTTTGGCTATCTCTTTTCCATTTGGATAACTACTTTTCTAAATTAAGAAAGTGAAGTAGCACTTTAACTGTTCAAATTTCCAGGAAGTGGGAAGATTTGTATGTTTCTAAAAAAAAGAACAAAACTTTTTTGTCGTTGTTTAATGCATGCATATCTTCCTAAGATATTACAATATTTGTTGCATTATGAAGATGTATGCTATAAGAGTGCATTCTAGCACACTTTGTAGTGATACAGGATGAAAGATGCAGTGGTGTGTGTCTGTGTTCTACATGTTTAAAACATAACAATCCATTATACATTCTACTTCTTTGGATGAAGAGCAAAAAAAATGTGATAAATGTTTATCACATTACCCAGTGTGCTATCAAAAGATTCTTAGATGATTCAAAGGAAATCTGTAGTACACAAAAATGCCTGTATAAAACTCAAGGCAGTGCCGAAAATCACATTAGTTATAAGCTTCCAGTACATCAGCAGCAATTTATGAAAGGCCATATCTTCATTTACTGAACAGGAATTACTCGGCAAATTGACTGTTCTAACTCTCGTCAGCTGTAGGTGTAACTCTTTCTGAATGCAGACATACCTAGTCAGGTGGCACTTGGAGTATTAAAACGTAATGAAAAATGCAGAATTCATACCCCTTAATTTGTAAACTGCAAGCACTCTTAATAGCATGTATGTATTTTTCAATCTAATCAGTGTCATCTTAAAATGTACCTTTCAGTGAGCTCATTAAAACAGCAGATGGAGGACAGATTTCGTTGGATTGGTTTGATAATAATGACAGCTCATATTATCCGGATGCCAGCACAAGACCCACTGTCCTGTTATTGCCTGGCCTGACAGGAACAAGCAAGGAATCCTACATTCTTCATATGATCCATCAAAGCGAAACACTGGGATATAGGTACTGTTGTTTTTCACTGCTATTCACTTTGCTGCTTCTGGCAGGATCCGATATCAGTATGTATATGTATCAGATACTTTCCTAAGGCAAATGAGATCTGAATACAGTAGTTTATGTAAGAAAGTGTTATTAGTAATAATAATCATAGTGGAATTATGTAACAGGCAGTACATTTGGAAGGGCTGTTTTAATATCTACAGATGTGCCCCAGAGATTGCAGTGAACACCAGCTAAATCTGTATAGGGCTTTGCTGCTGCTTCTTAAGTTATTATATTATATTATACTACATTGGTGTTAAGCTTTACACTTTCTAGAGAAAGGGTTTGTATTCAGCTCCAAGACTTGTGTGGATGGGTTGCTGGCAGTAGGCCTTGGAGGAGGTCAGCTTCTGAATGCCAAAACTGCTTAATTCAACAGTCTCAAATTCCTGGGTGCAGAAAGGAGAGTTAGCCTACTCTTACTGATGGCATTTGAGGGGGTCTGTCACCTCTTCATTGTCACTGTGTAATTTAGTTTTATTCTTAAGACTTCTGGTCAGATTTGGGTAACATAAGTGGATTAATTGATGAGTAGACTCCTTTATGTAACCATATTGCTGCTGCTGCTGCGCATTAAAATAAACTGTCATTGTTCCAGGATCTGTATTTGGAATATTAGATTTTGTCTTTGCAGATTGGCTTCTGGTGCTGACTCCAGTAATTTCTTTGAATATGTGTATATTATCTTTTATCTACATGTTTGACTATCTCTTCTCTATTTGGATAACTACTTTACTAAATTATGAATGTAAAGCTGCACTTTAATTGTTCAAAGTACTTTTAAAATCACCTTAAAACTTAGCAATAAAAAATATCAGAGGAAAGCCCTAAAATCAACTTGTTACTATTAATTTTTAAACTGGAAGTTATATCTGCATTTCATCCCCTAAGGGAAGAAGGTAGACCATTAAAAAGTGGAACTTTAGGTCAGATTTCAAGAGAATGCTATGATTTTGTTTTTAAATAGCAACATTTGAGAAAAATACCAAAATAAATATTCTTTCATGCCTTTAACTCATCTGTGTATATTATTTAATAAAATTGTTTCAGTGAGATGGTAGAGGAACAATAGAAAAGTAATATTTATTGAGAAACGATGGATTCTTAAATCATGATGATACTGCTAGAAGATTCAGAGACTCCCACCAACAGAGAGAGACCAGAAACTTCTGCTGTACCAGATGAAAAAAAAAAAAACATTCCCAAGAACCTGCAACTTAGATCCAGCTGTCATTATCATTTTGACTTGGCTCATTTCTTCCAATTTAGTAGTATTATGTAGCTTTGGGGGATGTCTACACACGGATCTCTGAAATTCTTTTTTCAGAGCACAGCTTCAGGCTGTGCCCTGCACTGTCAGAGCTTATTGCAGAGTGCAGGCGGGACATGTCTGTACCACCTTCAGCTAAACCTTGGGGTTCTCACCCTGCAATGTGACCTCAAAAAAGCACAGAGCTCTGATAGTCCCACTGAACTCAGCGAACTCCATTTTGGTATAAAGCTTGTTCCACACAGGTCAGCCTCTAGGATCTGTAGGTCTGTAAATATTTATGTGCTGAACTTACTCATAGAAGTGGCTCATTTTTCTTTATGCATTTTCCTTTTTTGTGTGCTGGTTATCTCTTTTGGTGAAATTAACAATGTGCACAATTGAATTTACTGTCTCAATTTTTAGATGCGTGGTTTTTAACAATCGGGGAATTGCTGGCGAGGAGCTTTTGGTAAGGATGACTTCTAAGATAAACATTTCTCACTTATAAGTGGTAATTATGAAATAATTCGTGCCTATTTGTACAGTTGGATTTAAATGAGAGAAACTCAGAGCATGGGTTGAAAATGCAAAGAAGATAATTCAGCCATCTGGTAGATCAATCATGTACCAATATTAATTTTTTGTTTTGAAACCCTAGAGGTCAACTGGTCAACACAATTTTTTCTGAACATTTCATTTTAGGAAATTATTCAGTTAATAATATCTGTAACACTAAAATGAACAATCCTTACATTTTCTTTCCAAAAATAGTGCAGTATGTAAAATGTGCACATCTCTGCTCAATCATTGCAATTTTCTCCCACCGATTTAACATACATTTCCAAATATAATCCACTGTAATTTCTTTTCCAGTTTAAACTATATTTTTGATATGGTTAAAAAGGTGTGCCATTAAAATTGATCCATACCACTTGTTAGTAAATTAATGAACCAGCTTTACATGGATATCTGTATCCTGAAAGTTAAATGCATTCTCGTGTTTTTCTCAGCAATCATGACACAAACTCAGCTACAGAGGACATTTTTTTTGGGACAGACATATCATGTCTGCTTAGAAATAACTGGCCATTCCTCAGATGAAAAAATCTTGAAGCTGAACATTTTCTGCAGCTAGGGACAAGGCATGATGAAATATTGCTGAATAAGCTTTGTTTTTTCTTATGTGTTCTGTTGACAATTCTGCAGCTGGAATGAATGTGCATAATACTTGGTATTGTTTAGCATTTTTTTAATCCCCTGGTTCAAACTTTAAAAAGCTCAGAATGTTTTTCCATAATCAGATAAAACATTTCAATGCAAATATTGCCATGTTAAGAGTAGTTTTCTGCATACTTTTGGAGATGGATCTACAAAGCAGTTTTGTGACACACAAAGTCCTTATTGATGAATTTCTGAATCATTTAGAGAAAAGATCCCTTGTTTGGATACATTGTGTGTATTTTACTGTAATCGGATTTAGATCTTTAAGCTTTATAAATTCTTGTGGTGCAGCAAACCAGCTAAAATTATCACATTTTCTGCAAAGAGGTTGCAACATTTTAGTATAAAATCCCTACTTAATGAGTCTGAAGCATAGTTAAGCACCACAGTAGAAATTAGTTACGTAAGTAGTTATTTTTCTAGTCACTTTAAAGATAGATTCAAAATTGCAACAAATAATAGTTACTTAAAGAATACTGTACTCATTGATTATTAAAAGCTATTGTGAATTATTGCTCTGGAATAATCAAATCTTATATTGACCACGGCCACTGTGAGCCAAGATGTTGTTTTAAAATATCTTCATACAAAGTGTAGATAGCTAAACATTAGACTGTCTGGAATTACCTGAATTCAAAATGGATGATATAGCTTTAGTTTTATAAACTTTAATCAAATACACTTTCACTTAGAATGCATTAGATCCTAGTTACCAAAAATAATTTATTTTTCCTTGTAAGGTTGACAATTTAATTAAAATAAAACATATTCACACTCTTTATAATTAATAGGATGTTAAACAGTGAAGAATGATTAATGTGGATGAGAAATGGAAATGCAACATAAATGGAAATTAAAAATGTCTTCAGTTTTAATTATCTAGATTTAGTTTTTCTTTCCATTTCCTCATCTTTGACGTCAACATTACAATATTCTTGTTAAATGTGTTATAAGTAATTAGTTTAATGTTGTTAAAATCACACACAAATAGCCAGGCAGTTTAACTGAAAGCAATTTAAAAAACACCCTTGAAATCCGTTGTTGCCTCAGGCAACTGAAAAGTTCCATTCACTCACAGTTATGTATTTTTATATTTAGTTTTAATGTTTACTGAATTTTGGCAATTCAGTCAGTACCAATTCAGTATAGTTAAGTCCAGGTCATTAACATGTTCCTAGCAGCTCTAAAGTTAAACATTTTATTTCTCTGTAGATAAGATCTGGACAACACCACATTAGGAAAAAACTCATGTCACTGTGATTGTTATGGTGCCTTAATGGACTTGTCTCCCTCATACTGCTCCAGATAGTCCCTCAGGTTGGACTGTTCCAGGTGTCTGTGCAGGGGAGGCTCTAAAGTTGTGCCTCTCCTTCAATAGCAGGGAAGTGGTTAACCAAATCTTACCCGAGGGGTTACCCGACCTGATGCCAGCAGAAGTCATTCCAAGTCTCGATTCAGGATTTAAAGAGAAACTAATGATGGATAAAGAACAGATAATATATGTTTCATTGCTTTAATTGATAGAATACTTTGCTAAATTAGGTAAAGCACACTGGGGAATTTATTTATCTGTTTATTTGGTTGTGTTGTACGTAGAATCTAAATATGCTTTTCGAATGCTGGCTGACAGAACTTGAACTCTAATGCTTTCTTTTGCATTTGAATGTTGGTGAATATAGTAAAATTGTTGTTATAACTTCCTTTTCTGTAAACCACAGCATTTATAATGTTTCCATTTCCTTGGGGTATTTTAAAAATATCATTGTCTAGCTAGTTCTGATCTAGTTCTGTCTACTTTAGCACATTGTTCTCTCTTCAGATTTTGTCTAATGACCTAGAGGTTGCAGATACTGAAGATGCCTGTCACTGCTTTTATTTTATAACGATAGCAAGTATAACTCCTTCCTTCACCTCCTTGTGAAACGTTCTGGATTTCTATTTGCCATTTAGTGAAGCTTCACAATAAATGCTAAATTTATCTTCTTATATAATGATCCACTGTTCAGTTTGCTTTGTCCTTAAAGGATAACACAAAAGCTTATGATGGCATTTTTTTTTTCCCTCTTGACTCCTTACAGACACCAAGGACTTACTGTGCAGCTAACACAGAGGATTTAGAGACTGTTATTCATCATGTGCACAGCTTGCACCCCTCAGCTCCATTTATGGCAGCAGGTGTTTCTATGGGAGGGTAAGGTTGTGTAACACAAGTCTCAGCTTAACCGTGATCATAAGACTGGTGTAGCCTGATTGTAAATTATTACTCTGGAATAGTTGCATTGCTTACTGACCTTCAAGCAAGTTTGGTTTCTCTCCAAAAGTTAATATGCAGAAGACTTTTAGAAACTTTGTATCTTTGAGGCTTTTACCTCTGTGTCAGGGAAGGTTGAAATTGGCTAGCATTTAAAAACTGGAGGGAGCGGGGTGGAGAAAGACAGGAAACAGTGAGAGGCAGATTGACAGCCAAATAGGTAGGCAATACAGTCTTCAGAAACTATGGAGGCTACCTTCAGAACACAGGGATATAAAACAGGATCTTGAGCTAATACACCATGTTTCATAGCAACCTCTGGCAATAAGATTTGTCTTCACTCTGTGTTCTGCAGTGTGTGGGTAGGTTAGGCTGGAAGAGGTGTGGATATCTCTCTCTCTGGCTCAGAAGCAAGAAGTAGTATTGTTGTTCAAACCGATAGGGATTGGTAGAGCCTGTGGTATTAAGACTTGCTGTGTCCTGGCTTCTCTCCAGAAAGCACAGTAAACCGATAGGGATTGGTAGAGCCTGTGAGAAAGCACAGCGAGAACAGACAATGATAGCACAGTTTCTTAGGGGAGAAAAAAAAACACTGCTAGAAGCTAGCAGAAATATCCCAGCAGCCTCTTTAACAAAAAACGTAGCAGAGGAGAATTTTCCTTAGGAATACTGCAGACACGGTGGTAACTTCCTGAGACTCCTTTTCTCTGATAAATTTTTTGAGGGATGGGCAGATACAGTTCATATATATTGATACTAATATATATTACTGTATATTAACTAGTATACTATACTACTTTACTATATCAATGACTTGTAGGAGCTTTGAGATAAATACATATTTGCTCAAGACTGGTATTTTTTTGCTTTTTCGCAAATCTTTAGTCACTAGGTTCCCTGTTCTGTTGATTAGTGGTCCCAGGAGGAAAAAAGACTAGTCAGCCTAACTTCAGTTTTTTCAGAAGATCCTCTGGGAGCCATTTCCAGGCATATGGGGAGTAGTTGTGACTGTTTTGGTCAAGGGCAAAACATGCCCAGGTGATCTGATTGCATTCTATGAAGAGATGACTGGCTTCACTGATGAGGGGAAAGAAGAGAATGTTTGTTCTGAGAGATTCTATGAAGAGATGACTGGCTTCACTGATGAGGGGAAAGAAGAGAATGTTGTTTGTTCTGAGAGGTCTTTTGTACCAAAAGACTTACAGAAGCTGTTCTTGCTGCAGAAGCCTTTCCCTTGTTTTCCACATCCCTTGCTTGTGCCAGCTTCAGCTGAACTTCAATTTTCCTATCTGCATCCCTGCATGCTTGGGAAATGACTGTTTTCCCAGATAGATGACCTGTCTTCCACCTTAAGGATACTTCCTCCTTGAAATTGGTCAGAAGAGTTTTTTTCCTCCATGTGGTCTTCTGCTACTCTTGCTCAACTTCCTGCATATCAGAATGTATCACACTTCTGCTTTATGTTTGGTTATCCTTAAAGTCCCCTTTGCTCATCAGAGCCATCTGATGTAAGATCTTGCCAACTAGATTCCTGAGCAAATGAAAGCCAGCTCTCTCCAGTATTACAATTCTGCTGCTTACCTTATCCACTGACTTTTCATCTTAAAAATCCACCATGAAATAATCTCAATGGCCAAGACTGTTCTGCATCTTCTCTACCTGACCAGTTCTTCCTTACATATGAATAGCAGATCCAAATAATATTTTTCCTATTTAGATTCTTGATTGTATATCAAAATATTGTCCTCAACACTCTCCAGAAATCTGGTCTGCTTGCGCCTTGCTGTGGCAGTTGATGCTGGGATGGCTACAATTTCCTGTGCCTGGCAATTATGAAGGGGGCTGAAGGTGTGGGAGGAGCTGGCAGTTCTGAGACTGGTACAAAAGGCCACATCAGTCCTTAGTGTCATTTTTGTCCTTGGCTTATCCAAAATACTAGCAAAGTCTGTTACAATGGCACAGAGAGTCTGTGTTGTGTATCTGGTTTATATGTAACCAGCACCACTGGGCAATTTTAGGCAAGGTGTTCCACCTTCCCCCTCCAATATGTTTTTAAAATCCTGAACCAAAACCAGAAAGCATATGCTTAATTGTACAGAACACTGGAATAGTCTATAATCACCTACATGAGAACTATTTCCTTGCTTCAAAATTAATTGGAGCATTGCATGTTTAAAATTAAGCAGGAGCAAAGATCTCATCAGGGACATACTGCAAAAATCATCCACATGTCTTAAGCTTACAGGAATTTTTTATCATCTATTGCTTTTCAGAATTTTCTGAATTATCAGATTGTCTATATAAAACAGATTTGCCCCAGCTTAGAACTAAAACAGATACTCACTTCACAGACATATATAAATGTAAATGAAAGACCACCTGTTCCACTATCTTCTGTAGGTATTATTGTGGAAAGGGACTTAATTTTGTAACATAAAGATTCCTACACCTTCTCTCTATCACATATTCTCTATGAATTCTGTTAGAGAAATGCTTCTGCTAATGCAACTTTTTATTGGTTGGTTTATTGGACTGCCATCCTATGATGTGGTAGGTAGTGCAGAGGGTAACTACCTTAATCTCAGAAGACTTCTTCATAGTGAGGCAGATGTGCCAGGGGCACTATGAATTCTGTTAGAGAAATGCTTCTGCTAATGCAACTTTTTGTTGGTTGGTTTATTGGACTGCCAACCTATGATGTGGTAGGTTGTGCAGAGGGATAAAATCTCCGTGATGGAAGGCTGGTTCATAATGTCTTTGCTAAAGGTTGCTGTCTCCTGAAGTACAGTAGATGAGCCAAGGTACAGAGTGTGGCAATCCAGGGAGCTATCTTAATGTTACTTATCAACTGTAGCTGTTCGTGTTGAAGATTTGGAATTAAAATGCTTGTTGTAAATTTATGGTCTCAGGTAAAGTAAGACTTAGAGTATTTCCATCAGTATTTTTGTTTTACTCTCTTCCTGCTGTTTCATTTTTTCTACATTTGAAGGGTAGATACTTGTGAACTCCCCAAGTGTATATTAGCAGTAGAGACTGTAAGTTGCAGCTGGTCAGAAAGACAAGACCTGAGCCATTTATTTGGGTTATAATTTTGTTTTCATGATCCCAGACTTCACATACTTTGTGTTAAAGAAGAGATGTGTTCTTTCGTATGTGTGAGGTGAGGTAATGGCACTGCCTTAATCTCAGAAGATTTCTTCATAGTGAGGCAGGTATGCTTGCATTTGTCAGGCATGCTGATCAGATTTATCACATCTGGAAAACCAAGAGATTATAAGATGGTAAAAGTTGCTGACACTTGGGAATATTTGTTCCATGAGTAAGAATCAATTGACTTTTCCCTCCCTTTAGTGATTTAAGTCAGACTATTTCATTTCTATTTCTAAATGCAGTCCTACTCACACCCTACCCAGAGAGGAACAGTGAACCCTGTTCCTCTCTGATAGCAGAGAAAGTAAACTTCATGAGTCATATGTTGATTAGGTGACTACCATCTAGGTGTAGTAGGCACAACTGTAGGACTCATAAAAGAAACTATTGAAAAACAGACAAAAACATGGCTGTTACATTTACTCTAAATTGAAGCAAACAGTTTGATAGTATGTATGTTTCTGTTTTTCATTTGTAGTATGCTTCTTTTAAATTACCTGGGAAAAACTGGCAGAGACACTCCTTTAATGGCAGCTGCAATTTTCTCTGCGGGTTGGAATGTTTTTGAATCTATAGAATCTCTGGAGAAGCCACTAAACTGGCTTCTTTTCAACTATTACTTGACCACTTGTCTACAATCCTCTATCAGCAGGTGAGTTGCCTTCTGAACTATTTAGCAAGGTGGAAGGATTTTAACATGAGATCCACAGCATGTATAAAAATACTGGCAAAATTAATGCTGTAACAACTCTAGTTGTTCTTTGTGCATTATTTGGTAAGTTTTGAAATCAAAAAGATCTTTTAAAGAAAGTTTGTCATCATTGTGACTAAATTTATATGCTGCTGAAGGGACTCGCAACAAGGCAAATTTACTTCTGTATCTATAGATGAAGTAAATACATTTTTTAAATTTATAGACTTGCACATATTGACTTTGAGTAGATTTGCATATATAATAATTTTTTAAAGTTGGCGTTGGCTGCAAAAGCACAGAAAGGCCTAGTTCATAACTGGCTTTATAAAACCAGGGTGTATTTTGTATTCCCAAATATTAAGTTCTCTTATCTTTGGGATCTTTCTCATGGCTTATGCAGATTTTTACCATGTTGCTGGATGTACCTACATATGGATGAACAAATATTCTGCTCTTGGATTCCAGACAGATTTTTGATATGAGAGAAAATTAAAAACAAGCATGTTAGACAGTTACTTCTGTAAATGTGTCTGTAAAGCAGAGAACTTCTAAGTTGATAACAAAATACAAGCCCTCCAATTTTTTATATTCTTCTTTTTAGGCATCGACAAATGTTGGAGAAATTATTTGATATGGATCTTGTGATGAAGGTATGTGAAAATGTTACTTCTGCTTGAGCTGGATGCTGTTTTCCAAATGCTGACCTAGTTCCCTATTTGAATTCTGTACTTCAGGCTAGAACTATTAGAGAATTTGATAAGCAGTTCACTTCAGTCATGTTTGGCTACCGTTCAATTGATGATTACTATGAAGATGCTAGCCCATGCCGCAAGCTGAAGTCAGTAGGAATTCCAGTGTTATGTCTAAACTCTGTGGATGATGTTTTCTCACCAGGTCATGGTAAGTTTAGGCTTTTTAAAATATATTTATCTGTATATGCAGTCATTAAGTCAAACCACATAGGTTTGAGAATAAACCTCAGACCTATGTGTAGAAGTGTATTTAAATGTTACTTGCACGTAGGATTAAAACTTCCATGGAAAGGAAGATAGCAGATGTAGTGCCCTCTCAGAAGCACCTGTTTCTGTTCACCAAGTATGAAGAGAACCCATAAAAAAGGTTGGATTCTGAAGTCATTCTGTCTGGGTGTAGACATTCAGAATTTAAACTGTAAACAAGTGGGTTTTTTTATTGCCATTCTTTGAGTCCCTACAAAGAATGTGTAGGAGTTGCTTATGTTTGAGATGACATGAAATGCTCATCTGTTGATCTGTGTCACCTCCTCTGCCTGTAAATTAAAAGCAAAAAAAACCCAACTAAGTTAGATTAGTTATATCTAATCATGTAGGCCAAAATCTAGGGTAAGGAAAAAGATATACACAAGGTGGGCTCCTAGAAGGAGGCAGGTTGAAATGAATAAGAACCATCAATATCAGCTAAGTAACAGGCTGAAAACTCCATTTTCCATTTTCTTTCTGTTTCATGCCAAACACGTGGTCATTATGAACATTTTTCTTTTGCTCTGAAGATCAAAACCCTGTTGCTAACTATTCTGAAAATATATGCTTGTTCCTGTGGTCTCTGTATTGGTTATAGCTTCTGAGAAGGAGAACAAAAGCTAATGTAGAAGAAAACCACTTTGATGAACAGCTGTTTGAGGCAACAGTCTTCAGCAATGAGTACCTGACACCTTTAAAAATGTAGTTTATACAGCTGATTTATTTCAGGGAAGTTTTCTTCTGCCACCACAGGTGAAGTGAGATTGTTGTAGAAGGACTCATGAAACCAAAGTGAGCAGGCAAACAGATCAGAACAACAAGCAGAAATGAAAGAATTGGAAGAGACTCTTTGTGTGTACTGTTTATCTGTGTGCAGATGTACAACACATGCAGAAACATGCACACATGTTACTATTTATAGTTTGAAGACCAGTTAGATACAAATGAAAAGATACATGAAAAGGGCTGCTCCAGTAGATTGCACTACTGATTTCTTCTTCTCTAGAACAAAAAGCATCCATGCTTTGCATGAACAATGTAAAGAAGTGACAGACATCTAATATGAGGGGGAAAAATGGTGTCTCTAGATTAGCCAAACTACCTATCCCTTACATTGGCCAAAACAGAGGCTTAAAAAAAAATAAGGTCTGGATAAACATAGTAATATTATAGTGGAATACTGTATGCACCTTTAAAAATTTGCAGTTCAAAGGCTTTCTGAAACTGAGTTAGTGCCTTTGTATTTATTTTCTCTGTGGGATTTTTTTACCTTGAAATCAGACAGTTGCTTGTTCTCTCATTAGCTTATAATGGCCTGAAAATGAGAATGAATGGGTTGTGACCCTAAAATCGATGTCCAAATATAAAATCTGGCTAGTGATTCTGAAGATAATTTTTATAGATCTTAGGATCCTGGAGATGACTTTCCCCATAGTACTGTAGGGAGGTCATCTGCTGTGCCATGTTTCTTTCACAGAGTATCGGAGAGAGGGAGCAATGGCTTCACCTAGCTAGTGTTTAGCACTAGCTTAGTTTGTGGTTTCTGTCTAAAGTTAAGTAATAACTGTGGCAGGGTCTACCTAGTTAGCATAGTGACAACAGCAGTAAACCAGTCAGTGTGCCTCAGTCCCTGAAAGATTTGTTAACCTTTCCCAGCCCATTATGACTGGGACTGGGACATTTGTTACCTAGATGAAAATTAGTGCAGATACTCCATCCCCTTTTTATCTCCAGCTCTCAAGACCCAGCTATTGATCTGACCCTATGACATTCAACCTGAACACCAGAAAACACATTTTTTTACTGTGAGAGTGGTCAAATGCTGGCATAGTTTGTGTGGTCTCCATCTATTGAGATACTCACAACCTTACTGGACACAGTTATGGAAAACCTGCCGCTGGTAACCCTGTTTGAGCAGGGGGGTGGACTAGATGATCTCAAGACATCTCTTACAGCCTCAGCAGTTCTGTGATGTGTAGTTTGAGTACTCAAAGATTGAGTCCCCTTAGAGTACAGCTGTAGTAGATCTCTTAATCCTTGAAGCTCTTTTGTAAAGGTAACTCAAGTCTTGGTGAACAGTGGGATGATTGTTTGCGTAAAATTAGGTATCTCAACTATTGTGAGGATGCCTTAGAAGTCTTGAAGTGTAGAGGGGGGCAAGGTAGAACACCAGTACTTCTGAAGCAAGAAGTGGTAAGAGTCTATTGTAAGAACTGTCCATCTTCTGTTAAAACTCTGATGGTAACCAGCCTTTCTCCATGAAGATATTTAGGTGGTTAGGCATTCGTTTATTCCTTGTTCACAGAGTTAATGCTGTTAGCTGTAAACCCTTGTACTTGTGCAGACAAGTTTACCTCAGAAAGGGCCATCAAGACGATGCTGATTTTCTGCTAATAGCATGACTCTGTTATATCAGTCTATCCTTGGCTCCTTTTTCATTTGTGCTGTGTACCCTCACTGGGAGTTGTTGTGCTGGCAGGAGACACAGAGAACCCCTATTAGCAGCCTGGGATTTATGTCTGCTGCCATTAGTTACTGGAGTTCGTTCATCTTGACATTTTGACATCTTCTGTGAGCTGTTTTATGTTAGCAAACATAAAGGGCTGGTGTTAGTCTTGGATGTGACTTTAGTCTGGCAAGTGGCTTCTTTTTTCTAACTTAAAAACTTCTATGTGTGGACATACAGAAGCTTGTGGCAACCAAAGGCAGTTTCCACTCACAACTGTAACATGGATTCAAAGCCATAGTCCCAAATCCAAACCCCAGCCTTTTGTTGACTTTGGGGACTGGTTATTTCATGCCTCATTTCTCCCAGTAATACCTACCAGCTTTTGAGCTACCTTCCAGTTCTCTTGTAGATAGCTGTGGTTTCCAAGAGCTGGGAAACCAGCCTAGAAAACTCATCAGGGAGAAAGCTGTGCCAGAATTCCTTTGTGTTTAAATCGTTTCCATAAAGCCAGGCACATCTATCTTCCAGTAACAGAGCTTGAGGGATACAAACCCAAGTCTGTTTTGTCACTACATAATGTGGATCTAAAGAGATACTTCCCTTAAAAAGTGCAGATGTTGCCTCAGTTGTTTGTTACTACCTGATAATTTCTTCTCATGTGCTTTTTGGTTTTTTGTACTTCCCAGAAGTTATTTTTAAATATATTGTGAAAATGTGCCATTTGACCTCAATCCGGTATTATGAAGAAGCAATCAATTTGCAGTCCTTCCTTAATGTTGCTGTTTAAAGTTCACAGAGCTTGGCAGCTGATGTATCTGTAGTTTAATTCTGGAATGCAATTCTCATATTGCATAATACTGACTAATGAAAACAAATGCTTTCTTCATTGCATGACACTTCTCTCACCATAATTAATTTAAACAAACCACTGCTTCAGGAAATAAGTAATAAAGCCGAGTCAAGCCCTTGTATTTTGTAAATGTGAAAAATAAATCAGGAAGATGATGTGATAGCATTCATTATCACTGTCACATTTAACTTTTCATCTGAAGTGCCATTTTTCTCTGAAGAGACTAAGCAGTGTATTAGGCATCTGACTTGATTTTCACTATACTAATGCTTCACTAATTGCTGCTGATGAGCATTGTGCTCGAGCTGGAAGCCTGCCCTTGGAGCTAGGTACCATGCCAGCTCCCTCCTGATCCACTGTGACAAATAAGTGCATGTCTGAAGCTCAGTTGTATATATTTTATTGAACTCTCTGAAGCTTTTGTGTCCCCCTGAATTCAAACTTGAATTGTTTTACGTGTTAGTGTACATCCTGTTACATAAATAGCACAGTTGAATGCAGTTGTCAGAAGAGACCACATGACCAAGAAATAATAATTTGGTTAAAAGACAGGTAATAACAGTTGAATGCAGTTGTCAGAAGAGACCACATGACCAAGAAATAGACAGATTTGGTTAAAAGTTTAAGGAACAGAGAGAAATGAAGCAAAAAATGGACTGTCTGACAGCAGTGACTTATATGTTTTTCTTTTGTTCTTTAAGAAAATAATAACTTCTTTTTGGCAAAGAATGTACAACAAATTGGTTTTAAATGAAGTAATTCTGCATATAAGTATTCACATTGTGGTTCTGTGATCACAAATCAGGTCTGTGGTTGCTGGATCAAACAGCAGTAGAGATTTTGGCCAAAAGAAACTTAAGTACAAGGTTATGTGTGGACAAAAAACAACAGTGGTATCTTTTGGCATGCAATCCTATCTCCTAGAACGCATACGTCCAGTGCTCCATTAATCTGCCTTTTACATTGCAAAATTTACTCTGTTGCATTGTGGTTTTATTTGTTGGATGGCTAACAGACACAGCCTTGAGAAAAGTACCACACCACTGCCAAGCATCATTTGCATTTTGGCACTGAGGAGCAACACAATATACTCAATTCTCTTCTGAGAACCTCCAGAGCAAAAAAAACTCTGCTGGGGAGGACTTACATGGACAAATAGAGGGAATTTCAGGAATGGGAAGATGACATTTGTAAAGACCTGCATATGGCTTGCACCTTACCAGGCATGGAAAATAATGAGTATCCTAGTGCAGGACTGGTAGGCTTCCAGGAAAGAGCCACTTTAGCCACTTTAGGGGAGGCAGGCAGCACGTGGCACCTACTACAGTATTGCCAACCAGTGTGGGAATGAATGACCGCCAACAAACTGATTTGGGAGCTATGATTAGACTGGCAACTTCTGAATGACAGGCATGCAGAGGTCATGGTGAGTTTGGTGGCCTGTAAGGGCTCCCCCAGCTGCGTTGGCACAGTAGAGGAGACATTTATTATATCTCCCTTTTAATCCCCCAGCAAAGCAGTTTCTTATCAGGAAGGGACATTCTCCTTACACATTGCCACTAGTCTGCCAAACTGAATGACTGTCATGTTTTTGCACATTTTAGCAAGTGAAGAGGTATGTTCAGTCCAGTTAGCAGCTGATCCTGAATCTGTTAGGACTGATGGGGTTCTCATGCCTGTCTCTGGTACTTGGAGGTCAAATCTGTCTCTCCTCATATATTCCTTCTCATACCCTGCACAGAAGCCTATTTATTAGTCCCCTCAGTGACCAGGCAGACAGCTGCAGAAGAAGTGTGGAAAGTGTGATTCATTGCCTGAAGCATTCATGGGGTTTGTGTCTGATCCCCAATTCTCTCTTGGGATTCTGTTTAACATGGACCACAGGCTACTGAAGTGAAGAGCAGATGGCTTGGTACAGATAAGTGGGCAAATTCCTATGCAGTCAGCAGAAGGTGACATGAATTGCAGCCACTCTCTTTGTACATGGCAACGTGTTCCTCCACAGAATCCAAGAGAGGCAGATCAGAGATTGCTGAGCAGATTAACTCAGGCAAAACTCCAGACAAGCGCGTGCTGAGTCTGAAAATGATGCATGTGTTGGATTGCAAGAAATAACACATTGTTTTCTGCATCTCATGTTCTCAGCATGTGCTATTCCCCAGTCTAGGCTTTTACATCATTGACTTTTTAGTCTGGCCTCAGTACTGCTTTAAAAGGGCCAGATTCTGCATGCAGTATTTTCAGTTTTCCAACCAAACAAAGGAAAAGCCAAGGATTTCTTGTAGAAACAGTAAGAAGCAGAGTTTTCCTAGTAAGGAATCAAAGTCACTTAGTAAATGCTGGAATCTACAAAATACTTAGATGTCTGCAACTTTGAAAGGAGGGAACGAGTGGAAGAAAGGGATAACACTGAGTAGCAAAGAACCTCACATATTTGGCAAGAGAACCCCCACGCTCTCTGGAGCTGAGTCCGAGCTCCCCCAGGCCATGGTCAGGTACCTAATGTTATGGGCAGGGAGCCTGTAGAGCACCTTCACAACAGACACTAACCTAGCTCGGCAGGCAGTTGGTTTTGCATCCGTGCTGAGGCCCTGGAGTGGAACAGAGCGTGTCGTTCCAGGCACTGCCGGTAGGGACCTGTGAGGCATAGACTGCTCCCCTGGCTCCACAGGTCCAGTGCTTCTGCCCTGATCTATTTTAAGTTGCACAGCTGTTCGCCACAGTCATTGCACTCAAGTCCTCCTGTGACTTAACTCTGGCTGAGGGTCCTTTTTTGGCTAAGCAAAGGGTTACTCTGTGCTCTTACTCCAGTTGCTGAGAATGAAAGCAAACTGGCATCTCAAGCACACAGCTACGAGTTTGCCAGCATCCAAATGAAAGTGAGGAGCATATCTGTGAAGTAGGCAGTAATATGCAGAGATAGGGACTATTCAAGGATAATGACCTTGACCTTTGAGATAGCAAATGTATAAAGGGGTAAAGGACCAGACTCCTAGAAACAGGAATGAGTGGAAGGTGTCTCTGAAGGAAGTGCCATCAGAAAGGGATGTGAACAACTGAACACGCCCAAAATTGAATCTGATTCAAAAATACTTTAAAGTAAATGAAGAAGTAATATAAATATTGTGAACGACTTGCTGCTTACTGTTGGAATGACAAGGCATTTTTAGTTGAGCAGTATATGACTTAAAATCAGCATTATTTTCTTCTCACAACATTTTTCAGTCAACACAGTGAAACTGCTGCTACTCCCTTCTTTGGACAAAGATTTTTGTTTTGCTGTCAATCTTGAATAATCAAAAATCTCTATGATTTTAATTTTTTTCTGTTTCATAAAGTTTCTTACTTGAAAACTGGAAATTTGAAATGCATTCTTTATTGAAATGTTTCGAGATTTCTGCTCATTCAGATGTCTACTTAGCATACCTAAAACTCCAGAGGAATTTGCTTAAATAACTTAATTTTTATGGATCTGTGGTGTTTGCATTCTTCATATACAGCTCCACTGCTGTGTCAACCAGTTCAAATGATACCAGGGTGATGCCATTGCACCAAGTATCCTTTGTAAATTCATGTTTCCTCTGGTGTCAGTCTGTGCTAAGTGACCTCTGTTTTCCTTCAGAAAGGGAACTGGCCAGGTGGTGAAATTGATTAAGCCACACATCTAAGCAGAGTCAAAACAGGAGGCGCTGAAGCCTCCCTCCTACACATTTCCAGATCAGTGCATATCTCAGGTGTCATCCACTGATGACTTCAGGCTAATTGTAGGCTATTGCTGAAATGGCCACCACACTGAAGGCTCCATCTGTCTGTGGCTGCCACTATTCAGATGTTGGCGTTAATATGGGGAACTGGATTAGGGTGCTAATCAGATCAGGAAAACCAAGCCAGCAAAAGAAAAATCCTTGTACTATCCAGTCTAATAATCTACATGCTAAAATAATTTCTAGCAGTCACTATTCAGTAGAGAGCCACTAATCTCCTGGGTGGCACGGATCAGCTTTCTGTGTCCTTGTACAGTTGTTTGCTCCTTCCTCTTTCTCGGTTTACCTTGTGTCTTAGATTATGGGCTCCTCAGGGCAAGAACCTTCCCCCAGTGTGTTTGCATGGTGTGCTCTAAACATGCAGGTGTAAACATATGGCAGATCAGATATAATGGTAATCTTTTATATTAGCTGATAGGGTATCTTACAGACTAAATCTTACCCTGCCATTACAGTTTCTGTGCTTGGAGTCTCAGACAATTGCAATTGAGTCCCGGTTCCTCAGCTTTTCTGAAGTTGAATATTGCAATAACAACTAAAAATTAGAGGGCTGATTGTCTTTTTACTTACACTATTTATAGCAAATCCTAAGTATGTATTAACTTGGGTGCTGTTCCATCAGTGTGAGTGAAAGACAGGTGAAGCTGGAATTTTTACAGCAGCCAGGGGAAAAAAAAACCCACACACATAAGGTGAGTTAATGATGAAGAGAAAAATGGCTTTTAATACTGCTGTGGTTCTAAACCCTGTAAAACATGTAAGTGTATATTAATGTTGTGCCTATTTATTCATACATAATATGAGAAATGTTTAAAAGAAATTTTTCAATGGCTGGCATTTCATAGAAGGTTAAGGACTTAAAACGTTTTTCCCCCCTTTTAGCTATACCAGTAGAAACTGCCAAACAGAATGCAAACGTTGCTTTGGTTCTGACTTCATGCGGAGGCCATATCGGTTTTCTGGAAGGAATATGGCCAAGGAAGTGCACTTACATGGACAGAGTCTTCAAGCAGTTTGTGCAAGCTGTGTTTGAGCATGGAAATAAAATCTTTAGCATGTAGCTTTGGACCACTGTAATAGCACAGTGGCACATTCTGACAAGGGCAGTCAAGCTTAGTGCACAAATTTTAACTCCTGTAAGCCAGCAAATGGATAAAGTCTATTACTACATGCAAAAGTATTTTTGCCTAAGATTTTGTAGCAAGAAACTAAATATTATGTTGTCACTTTTATATTTATTTTTAATATGCCTTACTAAGAATGACCTTAAATGAAACAGTGTTCTGCATACATCAAATTGCACTGAACCAAAACTATCAAGTAGAGAGATTATAATTCCTCAGGATTTTAATTTAAACCAGTATGTATTTAGGAGATTTTATTTAGATGGCTTTTACTATTAGAATGGCAATACTCAAAAGATCTTATATTATCCTTTCACGTATAGTACCACTTGGTCCATTCCTTAGAGCACTAAAGGTGAAAATGTTAAAATACTAAAACAAAAGGAGGGATCAAATAAAAGTACTGATTCTTTAAATAAGTTGAAATTTCAGCATGTTATTATTCCACAGCATTAGACTGATACCTGCTTTTGCTGTTCTGCCCTGAGAGTATTCAGATTTAGGACTGTTTATTGTTTTTTAAACTATGTCAATGCCATACTTGTCTTACACGGTTATTTTTTAAAGAGCTAATTTATAGTGTTTACATATAACCAAAAGATTTCTTTAAAACAGTACTGTAATAACTTATGTAATTAAAAGACATTTTGCATTTCAGAGTTTATGTAAAGCTGGGTGTTGTCACATAAGTAAGTAACACATACTTCATATAACTGGTAAACTCAGTGATTGAACCTGCTATGTTTATATTACCTTGCAAGAACATTTCAGTTTTAAAGAATAAATATTAGAGCATCAAGAAATTATTATATAATCTGCTTTAGATTAAAAAAGAAAAACAAATTCAAACCTTTTGTCTCATATCATTTCTGAAAAGAATGGAACAAACTGTTTAACGAAAGTTGGGATGGAGGTCAGAGTTGTGCCTCTGGTTTGTTTATTTGATCATTTGTCACCATTTTGGCAGTAGGTTGTCAAATCACTGAAGCCACTGCAAACCAAGTTCTGCCCTAGCAGCTTACAAGTTTGTGAGGGTAGCTGAGGCATCACTGTTCTCCTGAGCCCTGACAGAGTGACAGGCTGCACTGGAGAAAGGACACTTGGACAGAATGTATTTTGAAACTGTTGGGAAGCCCTAATTTAGGGCATACTGAAATTTAGAACAGGCCCTTAAGCAGCATCTGTGGAGCTCCCATCTTTTGCTGATCACTGATTTGGGCCCAGCCACATACAAGAAGTCAGGAAAGATGTCTCTGCATTTTTATTTTTATCTTTTGAGTGGGGTCAGTACAAGAAGAAAATGCAGCTAAAAAAAGCAAGTCAGGTCTTTTGTTTCAAGCAGTACGTGAACACTCCTCTTGCAAGGCATGTTTCCTAGTAACAGCAAAGGAAGAACAAAAATACTTTTTGTCTTTAGAAAAAGAAATTAGGACATGCTATACGAGAGCTGTTTTGTAAGGTAGACTGTTGAATTAAGAAAATTAAAAAGTGCTTTCAAGTTTTGACTTTTCAAACAGGCACTTCCCCAAACAATGAACTCTTTCTCTAATAAGAAAAATGAGGAAAGTGACTTGCAAAAGCAAAATGAAATTTTTTGCATGCTACTACAATACAGAAAAATAGCATATTAGTAGGGTGCCTTATTTATTCTTGTATTCATTTCCAGGGTTTATGTTCATGCAAAAAAAAAAAAAAAAAGAGCAATAAAAAGTGTATTTAGTGTTATATTTGTAAAATTGTTTAGGTACAGTACTGTTCAAAATTCAGCATATAGTATTAATAAAAATAAAACCACTTACATTAAATCACACCTTACCGTTTAAATAAAAGTATTATGATTAATGCCAGAATTTCTGTCTCTCTGCACTGTCTTAATTTAGGTCTGATCCCTGTACAGATCTCCATGAGACGTTTATCTTTAAAGCCACATCAAGCAAAAATCTGTAAAGCTGGTGTTCCTCCTCCCCAATGTACAGTGTCCTTGTACCCCATTAGGGAAAAAGCACAGTGTGCAAGGTGGTAACAATCAAATTTTAATAGGGGTGTCTTCAAGCTTTCCCAGTCAGATTTTCTGAAAAAAAAATGCAGACACCTCAGATCTTCCAGGGTGCACACAAGCTAGAAGCAAGTGCCATAAACATTTTTGCTGTGTAGTAACTTTGTACCTCACATACAGTTTTTATAAAGTGAGCCAAAGTCCACAGTGTGCCCTCTATTCAAAATAGTGTGAATTCACAGGGTCTTTATTTGGCTTTTCATGTGATCTGAATATCCAGGCATCAACAGGGATAGGTAATGCTGAAGGTGGGAGAAAGTTGTTAGTTCTCAATGTACTCATTACTGAAAAAATGAAGTAGAACAAAAATGAAATTCCAAACCACATAGGCTGCAGACACCTACCTCTTAAAAAAACTTTTTCCTAGTTCAGAATTCCAAAGTAGCCGAAGTTGAAGCTACTTTGAAGGCAGGGTCCTCTAGAGATTATCTAGTTCCACCCTCCTGACTAAGACAGGACATATCACATACATGCTCCAGAACATCCACCTCTTCTCATTTTTCTCTTGGAGTCAATGCATAGTACAGTTCTTTTTCTCTGTGAGGCCTTCAGTCACCCAAGAGCCATTCATGGCCTCAGCTGTCTTAGCACCAGATGATAAAGACCAAGACTTTAAGGTGTAATTTATTATGTCCACTCCTGGCAAAAAAAAAACCAAAAACCCAAACAAACCAAAAAACAAACAAACAAAAAATACAAAAAAAAAAAAAAAAAAAAAAAAAAAAAGAAAATACTTTAAAAACCTGAAAACTTCCAATAGGTAAATATGGTTCTTTGAATAGAGAAATGAACCATGGTATAAATTTCACACTGAACAGAAGAATTAATGCTCTTTTCAGAAACCAAGATACATAACAGCACCATTTAAAATACTTGGCAGAAAGGGCTGTGGATGATAGTCTACAACTCCACAGGAGCTGGTGTCAAGAAAATGCCAATTAAGCATCAGTGACTCCAGGCACGTGAACATGGTCCTGTCAATGTGGCACTGAGTGTCACACTTCAGGTACCAACAGAGTGCAGTCACTCTGAGGCTTAGACTCATTATAGAGATTTGAAAAGGGCTCCACATTCAAGAATTACTCCCCAGATGTGGTTCAGGAAGCTTCTCCTTACTTTCTCCATGCTGCAGTTTGCAATTTCCAGCAGAGATCTCATAGTCAACTATGCATTGAGCATTTGAGTGCTTCAAATCAACAGAATGGAGCAGCTTACTTAGTCTCAGCAGCTCCCAAATGTTTCAGGCAACAGCCTCCTCCCTTATTTCTGCAATGGTCTAGACCCCTGTGCACCACCCACACACATATCAACTCTCTGTCCCAGTCCCAAATCTCTGTAAGCCAACTATACCAGCCTTCCCTCCAGATGTAGCTACCTGCAGGGTTTTTTTATTCCTGTTCCCCTCTTCCCCTGGGAAAAAAAAAAAACTAAACTCACATTTGACATGCAAGCAAAGTGGACAAGTCCCAGCCCAATTTTTTTTTCCTGCTTCCCTGCAAAAAGGAAAACACCAAAAGACAACCAACTATTCAAATTCTATCTCCTCCCATTTCGAACGTGGCCCCCTACTTTTTCAACTAACTGCCCTGTAAAGCTCTCTAAGTCCAGGCAGCCAGGACATTCTCCAGTCCTTGCTGTCCTATGTGCCATCTACACAGGAATTTCAGAGGGGGACTGTCTCTTTCACCTACAACTCCTGTAGCTGCCTGGCTCCTGCCAGTGACTCACACCTGCCAGGAAGAAGACTTTTGGCCCTGCACTCTGCTTCTCCCCGGGTTTCTTCAGCTCAATGCATCATCACCCCAAGGGAAAAAAAGGAAACATTTGTTGCCTGAGTCATCGAGTTGCTGTAACACACGGGCACACTTCAACCTGTGCCACTTACAGAGGTTCTCATCCCAGCATGCCAGCTTGTAAAAAAGCCTTGGAATGCCCAAGGCAATGAACAAGAAAGAAGAAGGCATAAAAAAAGCCCAAGAGTCTTACTCTGGGGACTTGCTACTGACGTCCAGCATACATGCTGGGTCCCCCCAGGCAACTCCACTGCAGCCAGTCTGCTGTGGAATATCTCAGCCACTTTTTGGGTTTGGCTTGCTGTTGTTGTTTAATTTTTATTCCAGCAGAAGAAAAGGAAAAATCTGCTAAGCAGATAGTGATTCTTCGTTGGCAATCATCTCTTAAGGATCCAATTTTCCTGTCTCATTCCTTCTACCGGAAATGCAAAAATCAGCTTCTCCCTTCTTCCTAGGATAGAGGGACTTTTTGAATCAGCTGAAAGGAGGAAAATCGGAGCCCTGTGCTATCTCAGCTGCTCCTCCAGTTCCTTAAATGTTCTGCATATGTAGTGATTAGAAAGCCACTGGTTTAAATGAGCTTCCCGTGTGGCCTTACCTCACCTGTCTGAGGCATTCTGAGGCTCGAGCGGTGCTTGCAAGGTTAATTACCGGTGAAAGGTTAAGCAGCTCCAGCCTTTTGGTTGTCTGTCACCGCTTCCTTGCTCAGATGAGATGTCTGATAAAAAAGAGGGCAGGGAGGGAAGCGTGTTTGCATGCCAAAGGGGGCTGTAAAACCTGCGTGCTGGTAGGACTGCTGGGATCGAGTTTGGGATCGAGCTCAATCCCGTAACTAGGCAGCCCGATGAGATGTCTGATAAAAAAGAGGGCAGGGAGGGAAGCGTGTTTGCATGCCAAAGGGGGCTGTAAAACCTGCGTGCTGGTAGGACCGCTGGGATCGAGTTTGGGATCAAGAGCTCAATCAACTACGCAGCCCTCCCTAAGGCTGCGGCTTCACAAGCAGCTGTCAATGTTAACAGCTCCCTCATGCCAAAAGGGGAAGGCTTGCGCTTCCTCCTCCCCTGTCTTTTCTTATCCTGATTCGTCACACGGTCCTCAGCCTTTCTTACTCCGGTAGAATATGACAGTTTTTCCACTGGCTTTGTTGGGGTGGGTTTTGTGGGTTTTTTTTGCTAGCTCAGGAGCTTCAATCTGCATGTCTGTGGGGGTCCCTCAGGTGCTAGATGGAGGCTGGCACGGTTAAGGAGCTGGAGAACACTGCTGGGAGTGGGCAAAGGCAGTGGAGAAAATAACAGGAGAAGCTTCCACTCTCTGGTGACAGTCATCTCCCAAAGCTGCAGCCCAACAGGACATTCTCTGCAATTACTGGAGCGATCCATTATCAGCTGAGTTATTCCGTGAAAAAAAAGCCATAACCTAGAAGCAAGTAATTTTTCACATAGCTTCAGACAAGAGTCACTCCAGCAGTATTACTGCAGTGGTAAATAAACATGGCTAAATTAACAAAGGGGTTAAATCTTTTGGCGTTAAATCTGTCCTACTCATACACTCCACCTATGTGAATGCAGTTTCTCCTTTCTCCCCAGATTCCTCAGTTCAACAACAATTCATGCCCAAGCACTCCTGTTTATATTCACCACAACCTCCAAGGAGAGTATATTCCTGTAAAGTTTGTGTTCTTTCAACAACGGCATTTGCTAGCAAGTTCACACTGACATCAGTGCTTCAGAATGCTGCCACCTTCTGTGGAAAACTGGAAAATTACTGATATTCTTCTATCCCGTGAAATATGTTTTTCCAAATTTTGCAATTTAATGCTTTATAAGAATTCCTGCTACTTTACTATTTCCCTGCTGTACAGAAAATTACTATTTCATGGAAGTATGGAAGAAAATCTAGGTTTATTTGCTTCATGTTCCTAAGAAAGAGACATGGGAAAACATCATTTTAAATTTATAAAGATAATGGTAACATAAAGAAATGCTTTTATCATCCTTCAGGAAATTTACATGCTGCCTAGTGATTAAAATATCCTTCATCTGGAAAATATTCTGTTGATACTGAAGGAGAGCAGCAGACCACACGTGGCTGCGTTCATTGTAAAGTCACAGCAGATTATCATGCATTAAAGAGGAGCTGCTACAGGGAGTTATAAATAACATCTCCTCCTATCAGCTTTAAAAAAAACCAAAAAAAGACAGCTGCTGAAAATTTTCATTTATCCAGTAGAAACTGTGCCTCAATGAAGTGTGTCCAGAAAGAGGACTTATGAAGGAAGGCAGTTCCTTGTTCCAGTTAACAGAGACAGAAAACTTTACAAGCAAAACAGAGTATCTCCAGGTAAATTTGATATTTATATGAACAAATTTATGCTCTACAGAAACTTGACAGCAATTCCCAACAATCCCATAAATGTGACAACAATAGAAATTACTAAAATATTTTGAAGATTGTAAAACAGACCTAGAAAGTTTATTATGAAAACAAAAATAACCCTTTTAAAAAATACTTCAAGCATTAACAAATGAACATTTACAGAACCAAATAATAAATAATAAAAATAATAAACCAAATAATAAAATACTTCTGTGGTCTCCTTTAGAGCAGTGAACTGTAACCAGAAATTGTAAAGGAAATCAGAAATCTCTGTGAGAAACCCCATCACATACTACCTTTTCTTCTAAAACTTTTCATGGCTATTGGTTGTGGTCCATCACACTGTTCTCCAGTGGTGTATACACATCCCTAGGTGAATTCACAGTCAAATAAACTGAGGCTGTGTCTATACTGGCAAGTATAGACTGATAGGAGTGGGTATGCAGAGCAAACATACCAAATGTCAAGATCTTGATACACTTATGTGCATTTCAGGTAGGACCTACACCAGGTTACCCTTAGAAAGCAATATGGATGGAGCACACTAGGTGTGCATGAGGTACCTCTGCATCAGTATTCTAGATAGGATCAGCAGCTCAATTTTGACGGGAATCCTCTGATGGCT